ATTCTGCTCTATTCTAAATGGCAAATGGCTTTGTCCCTTTCACAAAGAAGCTTTTTTCTTCTCTTGCAGCTTCTAACAGGAGCCTTTCAAAAGACCTGAAATCTGAGAGACATTAAGTGAATCGTGATCTACTACAGCAACCGCAAAAACGAGGTGTGTTTGTGCCTGCTTAAGAATGGTCTGCAAACATTCCCTCTTTTTTCTTTTTCTTTTTTAAAGCAAGGCTGTTATTTTCACTTTAACAGTGCTTGTTTATTCCATAATCTACAGTAGTGTTTATGAAACGTTTCTCTCTCTCTCTCAGAGGAAACTTCCAAAAGAGCTTTCGTTTGTTATGGAATACATTTATCAATATTTATTGAATTAAATTAAAATTAAAACATATTTTTTTAAAAAAATTAATTAATTAAAATGTTGATTCTGGAGACCCCGGAGAGCTTTTAGGGGAATCCCCACTTTAAGAAACACTATAGAGTTACACAACACACTAATAGGTGTAATAGGTATTGCACTGATACATATTTGTCTCAATCAGCTGGCTAGCTTATCCTAAAAAAAAAAAAAAGCACATACTATATTTCTTTTCCAATTTTGCAGCAAAATTTAAACACAGATTTCTGCTTTTGTTTATGGCTGCACAGATGAAACTCTTCAGCCTCACGTTTTCATTTAAACATTTGCAAAGTTGCAGTGACTAAGAATTAGAGGGAGAAGGCAAAAAATAAACAGACAAAAGAAAAAGGGAAGGGAAGAAGGGAAGGGAAGAAGGAAAAAGGAAAGGGAAGGAAAGAAGGAAAAAGGGAAGGTAAGGGAAGAAGGAAAGGGAAGAAGGAAAAAGGAAAGGAAGGGGAAGGGAAGAGAAGGAAAGGAAAGGAAAAGGAGACAAAGAGGACAGACATACCCCCTATGTAATTTTAATGGGAAATACTCACATTTCAGGCTTCTATAGACAATATTTTTATACCGTCCATACAAAGGCAGTTTGTTAAGAAAACCATGACTGATGCACAGGGACTAATTTGAATAAATTTATTCTGTCTTCTATTCTGCAGGCTTTCGCCAAGCTCTTTACAGATGCATTAATTTTTCAGCCAATGCAATTCCCTACGCTGCTGATCCAATGAAATATGTATTTTTGATTTCCGGGATTCTGCAATAACAAACTTCATTGAAAAGGCAGCCTTTAAAAAAATTGTTTGCAAGGAAAACTTTTTTTTTTTAATCTCCCTGTTAAGGGATTGTAAGGTACTAGGTACTGCCTAGTTGCCCCCGCCCCCCCACTGATATGAACAAAGTTAACTAAGTTTATTTTAGCATAATGCCCAACAGAGAGAAGCAGATTTTGTGTAGAAAACGGATGTAAAATATCTCATAATATTATAAGCTTCATGTATTGCAGTAGATCAGCCAAGTTGTTTTTAATTATATTGCATAAGTTTAAGAATACAAAAATTAAAGAATAAAGATAAAAAAAGACCTAATTGTTTTAGAGTATGTCAGATTTGCTGCTTATCTGCCCGTATCATTCTTGTGTGTCCAATCACACTTGGCCAATAAAGAATTCTATTCTGTTCTGTTCTGTTCTATTCTATTCTTCTCTATTCCATTCCATTAGTCCAGTGGTTCCCAAAGTTGGCAACTTTAAGACTTGTGGACTTCAATTCCCAGAATTNAGTAGCCTGCAGTGCTGCATTTAACCACTGCGCCACCTCGGCTCTTATGGGGCTCCGTGGTAATTTAGTAGTAATTCCACCATGTGGGGGGAATGCTCTGTCTTTCCTTAAACCATCATTTGTGCCTGCTCTTAATCCCAAATGAAGGCAGCCAAAAATTCTCCCAAGATTGAGAACGGCAAAGATCTAACAGAAAGCCCGCTCCGACGGAGGCCCAGCCTCTATACTTTTTAACCGCAGAACACCTTAAGAACAAAAGGGAAAAGGAGCAGCATCTTTCCAAAGGAGTGGAGATCTTACAGGGGGAAACCGCAAGGTGGATCTCGACACGGCATCAGGTGCTTCCATCCCAGGTTAAGGCCGATACTCACCTGTACAAACGGCCAGTACATCAACCCCGTCTGGGAATTTAAAAAAAAGACAATTCTTGGATTAGAGCCACGCTAACGGGGAATAGGAGAAAAAGGCACCCGTTGCCCTCCTATAAAGCCTCATGCTTGTGTTTAAAATCACTAATCAAAATGGGGGGAAACGACAAAGTTTTGGGTTTTTTAAAGGCATTCCGCAACTCAAAGGAAAAGTGACCTCTTTCTGTGCCCAACTTGCAAATAGCTAGCTGTGGGTTTCCATCGGTGCAGGCTGTGCAATTCAGAGACATGGTATCCAAGAACTCCAACAGGATGGAAATCTTCTTTCTTCTTCTATATATATATATAAATGGTTCTGTGTGTGTGTGTCTGTGTGTTTGTGTGTGTATCAGTGGTGGGGGTGCCAATTTTTTTACTACCGGTTCTGCGCATGCACAGAAGCATCTGGGCAGGGGGGGTCGCAGCCTCTCAATTCCGCTACTGCTGGTTCACCCGATCCGGGCCGAACCGGGAGCAACCCAACTCTGGTGTGTATGTTCCAGCATAACTCTGGAATGCCTTGAGCAATTTCAGTTTTGATCACCACACTATTAAAAAGAAGCGGAGCCTCTAGAAAGAGTGCAGAGAAGAGCAACAAAGAGGATTAGGGGACTGGAGGCTAAAACATATGAAGAACGGTTGCAGGAACTGGGTATGTCTAGTNTCCCCAATTATTTCTCCTCCTCCTCCCCTCTTCCTCCTCCTCCTCCTCTCCAATTCTTTATCCTCCTCCTCCTCCCCCCTCCCAATTCTCTTCCTCCCCTCCTCTTCCCCCCCCCAATTCTCTTTCTCCTCCACTATAAACCCCGGCTTTAAAAATCTCACCCCTCCATCCCAAGAACGGCCTCTCCGGCGCTGGCTTTGCAACCGGGCGCCCGCCAGAGTCTGAAACTTCAGCCGTCGCCAGCGGCCGTCGCGTCTCCTAGTGTGCGTATGTGCGGGTCCCCAACCCAGCCGAGCCCTCTGCACGTGCTCAGAGGAAGGGGAGGCGCGAGAACCAACCAGGTTCCCCCCCCCACTTTCTCCCCTCCCTCCCATAACCCCCCTCTCACTCACCGGAGTAGAAAGCCAGGATGGCCACGGGGGCTCCCACCAGCTGGTCGCAGCCCACCTTGGCCAGCACGGATGCCGGGGCTCGTCCGGGCAGGAGCCGCTCCAGCGCCCGCAGCCAGAGGTAGTTGAAGTTGGCGTGGAAGGTCAGCGCCACCAATGCCACCCGGCGGGTCTGAGCCCAGTCGGCGCGCTGGCCCGGCCCGAGTCGGAGTTGCTGCTGGACAGCGTCGCCCGCCGCGAAGAGGCTGCCGTAGAGCCCCACGTTCCAGAGCCAGGGCGAGCGGCGGACCAGGCGAGCCAGGCGTTGCATCCTCGGCCGGGGGCTTCTCCGGGAGCAGCTGCTGCGCCCAGCCTTCCCCGCCGCCCACGAGCCACACGCCACTCCCTCCTTTCTTCCACGCGGGGTTGCCTTCCTTGCCTGGAAACAGCCCCTCCGGAGTCGCCAGAGAAGATACAGAATACAGATGGACAAGAGGGGGGAAGGGACCTTGGAGGTCATCCAGCCCAACCCCTGGCCCAAGCAGGAGATCCCACTACACCATTTCTGACAGGATGGCAATCCAGTCTCTCTTCTTGGAAGCTTCCGGTGACTGAAGCTCCCAGAACATCTGAAGGCAAGCTTTAACAACAGATTAACAGAGGAGGAAGGGACCTTGGAGGTCATCTAGTCCAACCCCCCTCTCCAAACATGAGATACTACTACACCATTTCTGACAGATGGCAGTCCAGTCTCTTCTTGGAAGCTTCCGGTGACTGAAGCTCCCAGAACATCTGAAGGCAAGCTTTAACAACAGATTAACAGAGGAGGAAGGACCTTGGAGGTCATCTAGTCCAATCCCCTCTCTAAACATGAGATACTACTACTACACCATTTCTGACAGGATGGCAGTCCAGTCTCTTCTTGGAAGCTTCCGGTGACTGAAGCTCCCAGAACATCTGAAGGCAAGCTTTAACAACAGATTAACAGAGGGGGAAGGGACCTTGGAGGTCATCTAGTCCAACCCCCCCTCTCCAAACATGAGATACTACTACATCATTTCTGACAGGATGGCTGTCCAGTCTCTTCTTGAAAGCCTCCAGGGATGGAAGCTCTCACAACATCCAAAGGAAAACTTTAACAACAGATTAACAGAGGGGGAAGGGACCTTGGAGGTCATCTAGTCCAACCCCTTGTCCAAACAGGAGACCCTACAACATTTCTGACAAATGGAAGTCCGGTCTCTTCTTGAAAGCCTCCAGGGATGGAAGCTCTCACAACATCCAAAGGAAAACTTTAACAACAGATTAACAGAGTGGGAAGGGACCTTGTAGATCATCCAGTCCAACCCCTTGTCCAAACAGGAGACCCTACAACATTTCTGACAAATGGAAGTCCGGTCTCTTCTTGAAAGCCTCCAGGGATGGAAGCTCTCACAACATCCAAAGGAAAACTTTAACAACAGATTAACAGAGTGGGAAGGGACCTTGTAGATCATCCAGTCCAACCCCTTGTCCAAACAGGAGACCCTACAACATTTCTGACAAATGGAAGTCCGGTCTCTTCTTGAA